GTATCCCTCGCTTCCCACCACCTACCCCTACCACTGCTTCCCGATTGACGCCTACTCGTCCAACTACTGACGAGCCTTCTATTGACTATTCTCCTACCATCGCCGATGACGGCACTGTCGAGTCTCGCTCAGGTGATTGTCCGATAGCCTTCTACTCCCGTCAGCTCCTGCCCACCGAGATAAACTACACTGCTGATGAACGTGAGGTTCTCGCAGTAGTTTATGCCGCTCGGCACTGGCGTCACTACCTACACGGGGCACCATTCATGATGCGCACGGACAACTCTGTTGTCCAGGCTTTTCTGACAAAGCCGAAGCTCACTCCTCGACAGGCTCGCTGGTGGCGCGACCTATCCGAGTTTAGTTACACCACTGAGCACATCAAGGGTGAGACTAATCGGGTCGCAGATGCCTTATCCCAGCGCCCTGACCACGACCAGGAGCACATCCAGCTCTCTTCCATCTCGGTCACCACCGTCCACCACTCGGCGATCGACGAGTTTCGCACTCAGTACCGTCACTACCCCGACTATCGCGACATCCATGCGACCCTTCAGAGTGGCAAGACCGTCGCGAACTACTCTCTCAGGAACAACGGTCTTGTGTACTGGCACGGTTCACAGGGCACCAGAGAGCCCCGTATTTGCGTTCCCTCCACTGGACAGCTACGTGTCTGAGCAGTAGTAGAGTTCCATGACCAGGCAGCCGCCGGTCATATGGGCTTCCACAAGACGTTGGCTCGTGTGAGCCGCCTGTACATCTGGCCGAAGCGCAAGGACTTTGTGAAGGACTACGTCGCAGACTGTCCCACCTGTCAGGAGGTGAACATTGCGAACCACCTACCTTATGGTTTGCTCCAGCCTCTTCCTATCCCTGAGGGTCGTTGGCAGTCCATCTCGATGGACTTTATCGGTCCTCTTCGACCTCCGATCCCCCGCGGTCATGATGCTATCCTGGTCGTCGTCGACCGTTTCACGAAGCATGCATGCTTTGTTCCATGCCGCTATGCCATCAGTGCACGTGAGGTCGCCGACATCGTATTTGACCGAGTCGTGTGTGACCACGGCTTACCTCTGAGCATCATATCTGACCGTGACCGGCGCTTTACCAGCCGATTCTGGCGATGGCTCCACGAGGTGTACGACACTCAGCTCCGCTTCTCCTTGTCTTACCATCCTCAGACTGATGGTCAGACTGAGATCACGAACAGGACTCTCGGGAATATTCTCCGAAAGATTGTTCGTGACGACCAGCAGTGGGATCTCCATCTTGCCCGCGCGGAGATAGCCTACAACCATGCCGTCTCGCCAGCCACGGGGATGTCGCCTTATTATTGCGACCTCGGCTACCACCCTCGTGTTCCCGCGGACTTCCTCCGACCGTCACAAATGCACCCCGACACGAGTTGTTGCGCGCTGGATGATTGGGTTGCACACACGACGTCGATCATGAAGACCGCACATGAGCACATAGCTGCTTCCCAGACTCGTATGGCAGCACATGCGAACCGATCGAGGATGGATCATCCATTCAAAGTCGGTGATGACGTGCTTATCGACGCCCTCCACTTACAGCTCGAAGCGGACACACTTCGCAAGTTTCAGCGTTGCTTCTTTGGCCCATGCCGCATCCTCCAGGCCGTCGGTTCTGATACGGCTTCTAGCCCGGTCAGCTTCCATGTGAAGCTGCCCGACTACCTACGCCAGGCTCGTGTGCACGATGTCTACCACGTCTAGGTACTGCGTCCTTACCGCAGACCGTCTGAGCGTTTCGTCGGACGACCATACGAGCGCCCTCCACCCATCATGGTGGACGGTCACGAGGAGTTCCTCGTTTCAGACATCATTGGTCACCGAGTCACCGACGACAACCCTCCCCACGTCGAGTATCTCGTACGTTGGAAGGGTTACCCTGCTGAGGAGGCTACCTGGGAGCCCCTCGAGCACTTGCAGCACGCTCGCATGTTGGTGCGTGCTTATGACCGTGCTCATCGTGCTGGGTTCACTGCTCCTCCTCAGCCCACTGACCCTCCTCCTTCTCCTCCGGCTGAGGAGACCGCTGAAGTCGAGTCTGCTCCATCTGAGGCAGACCTTCAGCAGCAGCCGGATGCTTCTGAGCGTCCACAGCGCACTCGTCGTCGTCCTGCTCGATACGACGATTGACTCTGACTTATCTTCCCACGTCTTTGACTTCTCAATACTCCATCCACATCAGTTTTGCTACTTCAGCTCGTCGACGCTGCGGCTCTTCCTCGACGGCATTCCGGACTTCTCATCGTGGACGTCATCGGCAGCTTCATGGACTTCATCACGATCARCTCTGCCTACTTCAGACGTCGCCACTCTCTTACCACTCTACCCTGTACAGTTCCCTGCTTGTGTTGCATGATGGTCTCCCTTTAGCCCGGTTCCTCTCTGTTGGGCTCTCCCTTGGTATACGCATAGGCATCGGGACCGTAGCGTTGCCCTGGCTTCCCATCTTACGGATCTAGCTCCGACTTCCCTCACTTTAGGAGTCATTTGCATGATTCCCTTACCCATCATCTTTCTACCCTTCGCCGGCCCTCACGCCGTAGTTAGGCAGCCCCGCATGCTTCATCTAGGTGCGCCGGAATACCTGGCTCCCTTGTTCCCTTGCATGGTCGACCCTCCATAGCGGTCACCCCTTAGTCGAGCATTACCCGCCCTGATGGTCTATCTGTTAGGGTCACTGGTTCTGTTCGCTCCCAGTTCCCTACCCTCATTGAGCCTGATGACATGTGTTTTCCCCTGTCACTATGTGTGGATGCCCTTAGGAGTTTCGACCCCTAGGCTGCATTCGCCACCCTC